TTAGGGCTGATTTTGGGCCAGGCTAAATTATCTCTATCTTCCTCGGTAATTTTTTGTTTACTTCTAACCGGTAATTAAATAAATATGGATTATTGACAAAATTGTCAACACAACAAAAAAAACAATTTGATATGATCCCCCCAATCATCTAATGATCTGATGACAAAAATTATTATCCTAATTACACTGTAGTTTTCAGTATCCTAATTACCAAAACCGAATTTTATTCAGTACCAAAGAAATAAAGTTTTTGAATTTAGCTCACAAGGGATAGTGTGATTGACAAAGAGAAGAAAATAAAATTGAGTTTGTTGTTGTCTTTCTACTGAAAAGAAACACTCTCATTTGTAACCAAACTAACAATATTAGTCAAGTTTTTGAATTGAGTTCAGGTTGAGACCATATTCTAGCAAAATATGATGACTTCATGCCTTTGTAACCCGCAACGCCTCCACGAACAACTCCTTGAGAGAAGCGTTTGAAGCCGCGATTCTTTGCGATGTGATGTCCAAATCTTTACCGGAGCTGATGAACAACCAAAAGAAGAGAACAGTTAGCTCAGTTGGAATGTTGAGTGTGTGCTTGATTTAATCTCATTAGGAAAAACTCTTACGGATCAAAAATGAGTCCACCAGCTTCTCTAACGATCACAATTCCTGCTGCAATGTCCCTGTGAATTGATATAAAGCCATTTAGATGAATTTCTTTTTAATCCAAGCAAAGCAAAAAAGAACGAAAGATATTTACCATGGACCACCGAAACCGAGTTCATAGAAGATATCAACTCTTCCACATGCGACACCACAGAGGTCCAGTGCGCATGAGCCGCTCATCCTAAGTGACCTCACCTGATGAAAGAATGAAACAAAAGACACAATCATGAGTGTTGGTTGAGGTAAGGAGCCAAATGATGGAGTTCCAAATATTTCTCGATAAACTCTCACCTTAGTTAACAAACTGTTGATTCTGTTGGTTGTATCATCTAATGTAGCTTTATCTCGTTTAGTACCCGCCTGTGTTCATGTAAGCGATGAGAGAAGGCTTCATAGCAGTCTAGTGTGTAACACAAAGGAGACAGATTTTACCTCTGTTACGAGCAAAGCTGTTACAAGTTCGCTCTGAGTTGACACTGCAAAAAATAACATTGTTTGAGTTGAGAAAACGAGCATTTCTTGATCAACAACATCTTTCGACTAAAAAGAGTGAAACAAGTATATAAAACTAACCTTTAATTGGTTTTCCATTCAAGAAGGCTCCTTTCCCTTGGACACCCGTGAATAGCTACGTTATCAGTCAAATTACATGTAAGAAATTGATAAACATCATTGCGCATGTCCATAGCACCATCATCATCATATCAAGGAAATACTTATAATGCTATTTGGTACTGATTTGAATAGCATTGGCTTGTGAAATCGATCTAACGGTAAGAGTTTGGACAATTCTTACCTCATCCATAATAGGATTATAAACGACTCCAACCACGGGGACTTTCGCAATCGTAAGGCCAATGGAAACACACACAAAAGGGAACCTGCCGAAACAGCATTTGGTTTTATATTTGTGCAAAACGAAACACACACACTCCTTCGAATGGGAATTGAGCAAGAACATGTTTATATACCCGTGAACGAAATTTGTAGTTCCATCAAGAGGATCAACAATCCAAGTTGGTTCGTCTGTTAATTTTGTAACACCATTTGCAGCAGTAGTTTCTTCTCCTATGAACTAATTCATATAACAAAATTCTCATGATCAAATGCAAGGAAAAAGCTACCAAAGATCAAACAGAGTGGATTTCAATAAAGAAGAATCAATCAAATCACCTTGTGATTGGGAAAAAGCTGTTTGAGATGATTAAACACAAGTTCTTCACATCCTTTATCAGTCTCAGTCACCAAATCCACCTTATAAAAACAACAATTTCAGAAGCTAGAGAACATGATTCCAAACACACACAAAATTGACAGTTTTGGGCTGAAAATGAAACCAAGAAGCAATCTTGCAATGAAACTAGAGCAGAGGAAACAAAACAAAAACCTGGCCTTTGTGTTCAACATGTTTGGTCTCGTAAAACCCTTTACGAATGACCTGCAGAATCAAACCAAAAAGGATCCA